TCAGACTTTTCAAGAGGAAATGTTTCTCTGCAGGTACTCATCTATTCAAGTTGTGGTATGTGAATTCAGTGTATTAGTATACACATGTAGACCTAAGGACATGTTCTGACAAGCTACATATGCAATTTTGAAAGGGTTCTCTTAAGTAAAACCAATTGTTTCCTCTCCTCCTCAAAGCAAAAGCATTTGTTTTCAAAGTTGCATCAATGTCAACTCTCCTGTTCAAACTTCCGGCATTTTTACTTTAACTTCCATCTTAAAAAAGAAAAATACTGATTAAGTCTCCTCATGCATATACCCTTTTCAAAGTTCAAAATCAGCTGAACTAATTTTGCAGAAACTTTCTGGGAAAGTCACTTTTGAGCAGAAACAAAGCAATAAAATCACTATTTAAAGATAAATATTTCAGAAAGAGGAACATATGAAAAACATATTATCAATTAAATTTAAGCGTGAATTGTAAGCTCCCACTCTATTTTATAAACCTCAAGTAGTGTGGGTCAGACTTAAAATTCTTATGAGTAAGGAAATTCTGACTTAGTCACCATAACAGATCATGTAAAAAGCGACAAACAGTCCTGTGGCACCTTATAGACTAACAGACGTATTGGAGCATAAGCTTTCGTGGGTGAATACCCACTTCGTCAGATGCATGTCATGTTAACAGATCATGTTATGATCCTTTTCCAGATCACTACTACAGACAAGAGCTCACATGCATTCTCCCAAGACACAGAGTACATTTATTGTAACAATATAGAGGGTATGAATTTTAACACACTTAAGCACATAAATAACTTTAATCATCTGAGCAGCTCAATTTCAGCCAATGGGACTGATCATATGAGTAAAGTTACTCGTAAGTGTGTGCAGGGCTCATAGGTAATATGGACAGTTGATAGTGACCCTGTAACAGGGTAATTTACTCCTTTAAGGGGCAGGGGCCTGGAGTCAGCAACCCTGTTCAATTATCAGACCCACTTGGGAAGGAGTCAGTGATGCCTATAAAGGGCTGAAAGAGCTAAGCTGGAGGGAGAGCTGCAGAAAGGAGATTGACTCTTGTGACTGGTCCTGGAGCAGAGAGAGATATACAGTGACAGGCCTCTGGGCCCCTGCAGTCTACACTAGGCATGTGAATAGTTTTGTATTACTTTGAAATTTTTTTGGTTTAAATTAATAAACCATACCATTCATATTTAGCAAAAAGAACAGGAGTACTTGTGGCACCTTAGAGACGAACAAATTTATTTGAGCATAAGCTTTCGTGGGCTACAGCCCACTTCATCGGATGCATAGACTGGAACATACAGCAAGAAGATATTTATACATACAGAGAACATGAAAAGGTGGTAGTAGCCATACCAACTGTAAGGTTGCCTAATTCTTTCCATTAAAAAAAGGTCACAAAATATTTCATTTTTGCAAAGCTCTAAACACCTCTGTTCTCTACAGAAGGCCTTTGAAATTCAGCTGAGAGAAGAATCCTGGGGGGGGGTCAAAAAAGGGCCTTGTCTTCATCCATGAAATTCCATTCAAGTATAGTTAAGTTTTCAATTGTTAAAATTGCCACTTCCCTTCTATCTCTTATGACATTAGCAAAATTTTGGCAGCATGCCACAACAACTGAACACAAACATGGTCCCATGCCATTACCAAAGTAACAGCAGCACAACACACGCTACACTGGGAACGCCAAGAACAAACTGTGTTTCCAGGAGTAGGAAAGAAAGAGCTGGTTCATGCTTCCCCCAACAACTCTTCTCCCCACCCAAATCCAAAAGCCCATCTCTCCAGTGGCTTAATTTGTAATGAAAGAGGTGCCGGGGCTCAAGCAATTTTTGTACTTTCATAACCGACGTGGCAAGTGGTGCCGGGGCTATGAAATGCCAAACCTAACGGTGCCAGGGCTCAGCCAGGTAGTCTCAGGGGTAGTCAGGGGCTTCCCCCCCCCCCCAAGGCCTGGGAGGCAGGAGCTGTGGGGGGGCACTTTTGGGGGCCTCGCAGTCCCAGAGTGGCCCTGGGGATTAGCAGGGGGCCGTGAGAAGCCCGCTCCGCTTCCCTCGCCCCGGCCCCAGCCGTGTCGCTCGGGGGAGGAGGCTTGGGGGAAGGGATCTCCCCCGCACTCATCGGCAGCAGTGGAAGCAGAGCAGCCTGGCCCCAGCCCACTCCACTCTGCCAGCTCCCAGCCGCAGCGCTCCGCTTCCCGTCGCAGGTGAGTGCGGGGCGGCGTCTTTTCACCAACCTCCCCACACTCACCGGCGGCGGGAAGCGGAGCAGCCCAGCCTCAGCCAGCTCCACTCTGCCAGCTCCCAGCCACGGCGCTCCGCTTCCTGCCGCAGGTGAGTGCGGGACCTTTCCCCAACTTCCCCCCAGCGACATGGCTGGGGCCGGGGCAAGGAAAGTGGAGCAGGCTGGGACCGCGTCACTCCGCTTCCCGCCGCAGATGAGTGCGGGGGGCATCCTTTCCCCAACCTCCCCCCACTCACCGATGGCAGGAAGCAGAGCGCCGCGGCAGGGAGGTGGCGGAGTGGAGCAGGCTGGGGCTGGGCTATACTGCTTCCCACCGCTGCCGGTGAGTGCCTGTCAGAGGGTGAGGGGTGTGGCTAGGGGACAGGGAGCAGGGGGGTTGGGGGTCTCTGAAGGGGGTGGTCAGGGAACAAGGAACAGGGAGGGCCAAAGCAAGTTCGATATAACACGGTCTCACCTATAACACGGTGAGATTTTTTGCCTCCCGAGAACCGCGTTATATTGGGGTAGAGGTGCATTTTACTGCCAGAAGAGCTGAGCGTGCACAGCTTCCACTGACTTTAGTTGCAGTTGCGAGGACTCATCACTTCCTCACAGCAGGCCCAGGAACACAATATTAACATGAAAATAAAGTATTACTGTGTGCCATTCACCTGTCTTAACCAGACCATCCTCTCTTTCAACAGTTCCTTACCTCATTCCTTATATATCTTCCAACTTCTAGAGCAAATGAGGCAGAGATCCTACCAATAGCCTAATTTCACAACACAATTCTAAATCATTCCCTGAACACCATCCGTCCTGATCTCTGAATGGCCAGGGTGCAGTGGGAAAAAAAAATAGGGGGTCATCATGGAATTAAAGACTATCATAAAGCATACCATAAGATGACTGAATTAATGTTACATGGGAAACAAATAAAAATATTATCTAAACCGGGGTAGGCAACCTATGGCATGCGTCCCGAGGGCGGCATGTGAGCTGATTTTCAGTGGCACTCACACTGCCCGGGTCCTGGCCACCGGTCCGGGGGGCTCTGCATTTTAATTTAATTTTAAATGAAGCTTCTTAAACATTTTAAAAACCTTATTTACTTTACATACAACAATAGTTTAGTTATATATCAGAGACTTATAGAACGAGACCTTCTAAAAATGTTAAAATGTATTACTGGCATGCAAAACCTTAAATTAGAGTGAAAAAATGAAGACTTGGCACACCACTTCTGAAAGGTTGCTGACCCCTGATCTAAACTTTCAAGTCCATGACTTTACAACCTAAATGATATTTTAATAGGTGGGTGTTTGGTATGTAATTTTATCTTAGACTGTTCAGACTCAAAGGTTTACAGACTTGTAAAGAGAGACTGCAACTAGTACCAGAGGGGGGGAAAACAACCCTAAAGCTTCAATCTATTTGTCAGTAATTCTTCCATTAGTTTTCCCTACAACAAAAGGTTCCTGCACTTTTAAATTTAAAATGTTTTATTTTATTTCTTCTAGCAAAGACCTAAATAATGGGGGACAGGGATAACTAAAGATCACTGAAGTAGTCTTCATTCATTAGTGTGCTTTGAAAACATTTTACAATGAAATGTGTTTTAATATAATCAGAACTACATTATAAATAGCACCTAATTTAGTTATCAGGGTTTTAGATTTGCCTTTTCAATGTCATGTTATCCACAATTGTAAAGGTTCAACACAATACTGCAATGAAAACATTAACTATTCCATATCTTGTATGTAGGATAGTGAAGCATGCTACTAAAACTGTAAACTGCTGTCACCCTGCTCATAAAAATGAGATGTGCATTCTCATTAGGCTATCCCAAGTAAACAAAAAATATTAAGAGTTGCTGATTTACAAACAAATGAGGATTTTTTTTAAATCCATAACAAAAAAAAAAAAAAAAAAGTACTTTTCATTACAGCCTAATTATAGTACATATGTAACGCATGTTACTTTAAAAAAGATTCCTGCTTTAAATCCTAGCATCAGAGCACTGAAATCATGAGTTCTAGCCCTGTGCCGCTTTATAACTGAAAAGCAGTTCAACTTATAAAGTATATTAAAAAATTGTGGGAGACTAAGTCATGAATGATACAGTTTGAAATTGCTGAGATTTTAAAACCAAAATACGGAGCAACATTTAGCAGTTTTCATGTACATTAATGGAACAGGTTAACAAATCCTAGAAACACAATTGTGGATATATAATGGATAATTAAAAAAAAAAAATCTGGTCAACTTTTATCAGTACAAATAAAAGAAATTTTAACATTTGAATATTCTGGAAAGCATAGCCATTAACCGATGAGTGAAAAGATAAATGAAATCTTTACTTTCAGTCTTGCAGTTTGCTTTTCCGTCAAATAGTGTTATTTCAATACTTTTAAAAGTATGAGAAAGTGACTTAAGTACTACATAAACTGAACATTCTCCTATACACCAATGCTTTAGTCTACAACCAATAAATGAAAACTTTCCTTCAAAACTACATTTTTCCCTTTACGGAAAAAAAGAAGCAGCAGCCCAAAAGGAATCAAAACACTTTTAATATATGTTTAATCAATCATTTTTGGGAAAATAGTTTGAGCTACTCATTTCCAGACACTACACAAATCAACACTTCAAGAGAAAAAAAAAAATGTAAAAATGACAAAACAAAAACCCAATCACCACCAAAATCCCCCTTCCTTTCTTTTACCACTACCACCAGCACCAACACATACTTTAACTGAAAAGCTTACCTTCTTCTGATACCAGACTATAGCATCTGTTACTTTTGACGCCATTTATTCTACTGCATTCGCACGGTAGTCATTTTAGGCTGTTGAAAGAAAGACAAATTTTACTTCCACCTTCCAAGAAAAGACTGATCAACAGGCATGTAAACTACTCTAGTTACCTGCAGAGTAAAATGGTCTACAGGTATACTTACATTACATCTTGCCTCGTTATTTTAGTGATACGTTTTCCCCAACTAAACAAAAATCTGCTGCCAGACTAAGGAGACAGAAGTTTTCTATTATAACAGCTTTCTCCACCCTGTAAAGTAATGCATACCTGGCAAACAAAGTAAGCTTTACTGCTCAGCTAAGTCTCATAGGATATATCTACACTGCAAAACAAACAAAAAAACAAAAACAAAACAAAACACACATGGTACCAAGTCTCATGGGGAGACTGGTTCAAGTTCATAGGGCTTGGGCTGCAGAGCTAAAATTTGCAACAGACATTTAGGATCAGGCTGGAGTTCAGGCTCCAAGACACACCCCAGACATGGGGTTTCAGATCCTGGACTCCAGCCTGAGCCTGAATATCTACACTGCAATGTTTAGCCCTGCAGTCTGAAACCTGCAAGCCAAAGTCAGTTGACCTGGGCCAGCCGCAGCCATGCCATAGGTCTTTTATTGCAGTGTAGAAGCACAGAGCTTTAAGGCCAGAAGGGACAATCATTATCAACTAGTCTGACCTGCACATTGCAGGCCACAGAAACTCATCTACCCACTCCTGAAATAGGCCCATAGCCTGTGGCTGAGTTACTAAAGTCTTCAAATCTTGATTTAAAGACTCCAAGTTAGAGAATCCACTATTTACTCTAGTTCAAACTAGCAAGTGATCCATGCCCCATGCTGTAGACGAAGGCAAAAAGCCCTCGGGGTCTCTGCCAACCTGACCGGGGGGGGGGGGGGGGGGGGAATTCCTTCCCAATCCCAAATATGGCAATTGGTTAAATGCAGGTCAATGAGGCCCATTGCCAGACACCTGGGAAAGAATTCTCTGTAGTAACTTGGAACCCTCCCCATCTAGCATCCCGTGTCCTGCCACTGGAGATATTTGCTAATAGCTGTCAACAATGGGCCTCATGCCATTGTATGCAACTTCATTAGGGTTACCATTCGTCCGGATTCCCCCGGACATGTCCAGCTTTTTAAGCTAAAAATAGCGTCCGGGGGGAATTTGTAAGTGTCCGGACTCCCCCCCCCCCCCCTTGCAGAGCGCGCGCGGCTAACAGGGCAGCCGGCCGGATGGTGCTACTTACATGGGGTTCTGACAGCCAGAGAGAGCCCCTCCTCCTCGCCCCTGCAGCTGAGATCACTCCCTCCCCTCCCTCCCTGCATTCACAGATCGCCTCGGGCAGTCTGGAGCTCCTCCCCCGCTCCTCCTCCACTGCTGCCCAGCGTGCCGGGACGAACGGCTCAGATCGTTCCTGAGCAAGTTCACAGAGACATTAGGCGAAGGCCAACAACAAGGGGGCCAGAGGGTTGGAGAAGGGGCAGGGAGGTTTTGGAGGGGGCAGTCAAGAGACGGGGGGGGTAGGGAGTTCGGGGGGGCTTTCTGGGGGGGTGTGGATAAGGTTTTGGGCAGTCAGGGTACAGGTATGGGGTAGGGTCCTGGGGGGCAGTTAGGGTGGGGGGGGGTCTTAGGAGGGGGCAGTCAGGGGACAAGGAGCGGGGGTGGTGTTGGGAGTTCTGGGGGCGGGGCTGTCAGGGGGCAGGAGTGGGGAGAGGGATTGGAGCAGTCAGGGGACAGGGAGCAGAGGGGTTTAGATGGGTCGGGAGTTCTGGGAGGGGGTTGTCAGGGGGTGGGGAGTGGTTGGATGGGGTGTGGGAGTCCCAGGGGTCTGTCTGGGGGTGGGGGTGTGGATAAGGGTTGGGGCAGTCAGGGTACAGGTAGGGGGTAGTGTCCTAGGGGGCCAGTTAGGATGGGGGGAGGGTCTCAGGAGGGGGCAGTCAGGGGACAAGGAGCGGGGGGAGGGCTGGGGGTTCTGAGGGGGGTGGGAAGTGGGAGGGGCAGGGGCGGGGCTAGGGCAGGATGGGGGCGGGGCTCCTCCCATCCTCTTTTTTGCTTGCTGAAATATGGTAACCCTAAACTTCATCATACAATCCCCTTCATAAACTTATCAAGCTCAGTCTTGAAACCAGTCTGGTTTTTTGCCCTCTCTTCTCCCCTTGGGAGGCTGTTCCTGAAGTTCATTCCTCTGATGATCAGAAACCTTGAACTATTTTCAACCCTATACTGGTTAATGGTCAGTTTATATCCATTTGTTCTTGGGCCAATGTTGGCCCTGAACTTAAATAATTCCTCTCCCTCCCTGGGTGTTTATCCCTCTGATGTATTTACAGAAAGCAATCATATCTCCCCTCAGCATCTGTTAGACTCAGCAAGCCAAGTTCTGTAAGCCTCCTCTCATAAGGTAGATTCTCCATTCCTCTGATTATCTTAGTAGCCATTCTCTGCACCTGTTTCTTAAACATGGGAGACCAAAATTGCACATAATATTCCAGATGAGGTCTCACCAGTGCTTTGTACAATGGTAATAAACCTTCCCTTTCCCTACTGGAATACCTCGCCTGGTGCATCCTAGGATTGCACTAGCCTTTTTCACAGCCTCACCGTCACCCTGTCATCCACTAATACACCCAGATCTTTCTCCTACTCAGTTGTTTCCAACTGACAAATCCTCAGTTTAAAGCAAAAATTCTTGTTGTTAGTCCCTTGCACTATTAAATTTCATCCCATCTCTTTCTCCAGTGTTCAAGGTCATGCAAATCTTCTTGTAGAATATGCAGTCCCCATCCCATATTAACAATACCTATCAATTGTGTATCATCCGCAAATTTTATTAGCGCACACTTACTTTTTCTGCCAAGGTCATGGATGAAAATGTTAAATAAGATTGATCCCAAGACCAATCCTTAAGGAACTCCACTAATAACCTCTCTCCAGACTGGCAGTTCACCTTTCAGCATGACCTGTTATAGTTAAGACTAAGATTTTGTCATGGTTATTTTTAGTAAAAGTCATGGACAAGTCACGGGCAATAAACAAAAATTCACAGAAGCTGTGACCTGTCTGTGACTTTTGCTACTGCGGCTCCATGATTTCCCCCACCATCATGGTGGCTGGGAGCTGTGGGGTTCCCCCCTCCACCCACGGCAGCTGGGAGTTGCAGGATGACCATATTTTCCAAAGAGAAAACGGGACACTCCAGTCACTTGCCCGAGGCGTCCCCCTCTGCCCTGGGTAAGCTGTCACCTGTAACTGGAACCATGAGAAGGGGCACCCTCAGGAGTCTATCACCTGTGCTGGAACTTTGCAGGAGGCCCCGTCACTTGAACCCTCCCAGGGCCACATTGGCTGTCAGCTCCAGAGTCCTGAGAACGTCTATGAGCTCCGTGACACAAACATAGACTTACTTATAGTCTCCCCTTTACCTAGTTTCTTACTCACCTTTCAGTTCTAATATTAATCCCCATCTTCTCCAATTTAACTAAATTTCCCACATGGAACTGCATCAAATGCTTTACTGAAATCCATAGATTAGGGTCTACTGCATTTCCTATATCTAGAAAAATCAGTTTTCTTCTCAAAGAAAATACTAAGAAACGCTGTGATTTAAGTTCCTGAGATTCACATTGCACGCAAAATCTTTTATATTTTTTTTAACAATGGGAAGTTGTACCTATTGCTTTATACTATTGCCTTGTTAGAATTTGTCAACAAGTACTTTTCTATGGAAATAGTGGGATTTAGTGAAGTCAACAGTGTATTCAAGAAAGTGAACCATAACATTATAAATGCAAAGGAGGACCATTTCAGACTTGCAGCCAGATATAACAAAATTACTGTTGGGATCACCCTAATTATGATTTTAAAGTTTGACAATTTCCTTACTGAAAGGGTAAACTAAAACTGTATTAAAGGGGATAAGCAAAGATTTTTTTAAACTGTCAAATGGTAGTATTTACTACATCCATTGAATTTTTTAAAAAATGCGGCATTATCTTTACATAAGAACGGCCATACTGGGTCAGACCAAAGCTCAGTATCCTGTCTTCCAACAGTGGCCAATGTCAGGTGCCCCAGAGGGAATGAACTGAACAGGTAATCATCAAGTGATCCATTCCCTGTCGCTCATTCCCAACTTCTGGCAAACAGAGGTTAGGGACACCATCCCTGTCCATCCTGGCTAATAGCCATTGATGGACCTATCCTTCATGAATTTATCTAGTTCTTTTTTGAACCCTGTTATAGTCTTGGCCTTCACATCCTCTGGCAAATTATTCCATAGGTTGACTGTGCGTTGTGGGAAGAAATACTTCCTTTTGTTTGTTTTAAACCTGCTGCCTATTAATTTCATTTGGTGACCCCTAGTACATGTGTTATGAGGAGTAAATAACATTTCCTTATTTACTTTCTCCACACCAGTCATGATTTTATAGACCTCTATCAGATCCCCCTTTAGGCGACACTTTTCCAAGCTGAAAAGTCCCAGTCTTATTAAACTCTCCTCATACGGAAGCCATTTCATATCCCTAATCATTTTTATTGCCCTTTTCTGAACCTTTTCCAATTCCATTATTATTTTTTCTCTTTTTTGGAGGAGATGGGGCGACCACATATGCACGCAGTATTCAAGATGTGGGCATACCATGGATTTATATAGAAGCAATATGATATTTCTGTCTTATCTATCCCTTTCTTAATGATGCCCAACATTCTGTTCACTTTTTTGACTGCCATTGCACACTGAGTGGATGTTTTCAGAGAACTATCCACAATGACCCCAAGATCTCTTTCTTGAGTGGTAACAGCTAATTTAGACCCCATTATTTTAGATGTATAATTGGGATTGTTTTCTCCAATGAGCATTACTTTGCATTTATCAGCACTGAATTTCATCTGCCGTTTTGTTGCCCAGAAATCCAGTTTTGAGAAATCCAGTCTGCCTAGAACTTAACTATCTTGAGTAGTTTTGTATCATCTGCAAATTTTGCCACCTCACTGTTCACCCCTTTTCCCGATCATTTATGAATATGTTGA